TAACCCACTACTAAGCACTAAAGAGTAAATCCCAATTTTGGTAACATATGACAATCTCTTATTTCCCATAATCAGGTTCATCTTCCCAAGCTCCACATCCTCACTTATTTTTAGTTCCTACAAGTCAAAGTAAATGTGAAAACCACATCCTGTATCAAGGACCCAAGAATTAGAATACGATGAGTTTTTAGATTGAATAATGTAAATACCTGTCGAGGTTGGCTTGATCTTTCCATCCTTTATATCTTGCAAGTACTTAGGGCAGCTTCTCTTCCAATGCCTCTTGTCATGGCAGTAGAAGCAAGTAGCCTCTTTGGGGTCAGAGGCAGGGGGTGCATTAGAACCAGACTTTCCTTTAGGGCCATTGCTTGAGGACCTGACTTGAGAATTTCCTTTCTAGTTCTACTCCGAGGGTGATTTCCTCTTTTCCCCCTTCCCTTGCCCAATGCCAAATTCGGGAGCAGCAGTATTAGGAGTGGATTCAATACCCTTTCCCTTCAATCCACTTTCATCGATTGTCAACGTGATTTGAAGCTGACTCAATGTGACTTACTCTTTGTTCAAATGACAGGTTATTTTTATTTGATCATAACAACTAGGCAATGAGTGCAAGACTATATCGATAGCCAATTCCTCATCGAAATTCACGTTAAGTTTCAGTAAACGATCCACATAGCGCTGCATGTGTTGCAGGTGGGTCATGACAGACTCTCCCTCCTTCATCTTGGTGGTTATGAGTGACTTAACTATATCATATTTTTCTTGACGTGCTCTTTGATTGTACTTCTCCATCAAGTCCTTGCACATGTCATAAGGCCAATAGTCCTCATAAAACCATTGCAGCTTAGGAGTCATATTTTCCACCATGATACATGACACTTTGGTCCCATCTTGGCAGTGGGCCCTATACTCAACTATTTCTTTAGGATTTGCTTTAGATTCATCTATCTCGTAGTGATCTTTGTCAAGGACATACTCCTTGTCCTCGAATCGCAAGGCCATCCTAATGTTGTGCATCCAATCATTAAAAGTTGGAGCCATCGAATGTGATCTTGGCACAAATGCTCAAGATTGAGAAGGTGTTCGAGGAGTTGTTGATATTGTTCGAGCCAAAGGTGTTGTTTGAGGTAGACATCTACAAAAGAAGAAAGATAAAATTTTGATTAGATAAGGAAATCCTTAATATAACACCCAAATGAAATATTAAGGCTAGGATCCAAATAAATAATTCACAATTCAGAAGAGGGATGCTGTAATCCAATTGCAAATTATTTTAAGGAAGGGAAATGACGATTTACCAATTTCACCACAAAAAATGAAATTTAAACGAATTAGGTTTTAAATGAAATTTCTAGATCTTTTGAGATTCATTGAACTATTCAATGACATATTTAATCTCGATTATGCTCTTTCCATTTGTGAGTGGGATACTGAGGATCACAAACTAGGCGTGAATAACCATGCAAATTAGTTTGAGAATCTCGATGTCATTTATAACCTAATTAATGTGCCGATTAACCACAAACGCTCCATTAATCAATGATAATTTACGAGCTACCCATTTCCACCGTTTATAAGTCCATGTTAGTGTGTTGGTTTACCACACACACTCTACTAACGATTTTTATAAAATACAATGTGCAATTTCATGAATTAGCATCAAATTCACATTTTCCTAAAGTAACTAAGATTCATAATTTTATAAAAACATTTAGTTACTTTCTATTTTCATTATACTTATTAATGAGAATTTAATGTCCTATCAAACCCGTTCGACTAATGACCCTCCACTAGTCAAGAAAGCTGTGAGTACGAGTGGATAACCAATGACGGTCATTTTCTAGTGTTCTAAAATTTAAGATTTCAAAATTAAACTATTTAATTAAATTTTAAATTTTGAAACCAAATGGTGTGTTTTTAAAACTTTTCAAATAAAATAAAATAATAACTAGGTTAAATTTTTTTAGTAATTAAATTAACCATTAATTTTATCTTTATCTAAAAATTTAACACAATCATGAATTCATGATAAGGATACAGATTATTGATTAAAATTTCCAATTTTAAACCATCAAAACGAATTTAAGGTAATTATCCTAATCAATCCATGAAAGATTTGTCAAAGCCAAAAATCTGGGATTTGACAACTCAACTCGTCGAGTCTGGGCAATACACTCGTCGAGTTCTATGAACAGAATGATAATTCTGCTCCCTCCTCCTTTGAATAATTAACAATTGCATCATATTCAACTGAAAAACATCCTAGGCTCTGATACCACTGACGATTTTTGAGCACAACTACAAAGCATATGTATTCATGCAACCCTAATGCATTGGATCTAGGTTTTCAGTAATTGAACATGAAAAGTTGAATACAAAAGAGAAACCCTAATATGCATCTATAAAATCGAAATGAACCTAATACTAGGGTTTAGATACATAACTCAATTGTTACGTAGTAATAACAATTAATCCTTGTAGATCTCGAACACTTGAAAGCAAATTAACCAATATTCAACTATAGTCAAAATTCAACTCCAAATGACCTCTACACCGTAGCCAACCAAATGGTCACGTTGTGGATAACTAGTTCAGTCGCAACCAAAAACTATCTCCATGTTGTGGAAGGAATGCTGACACGCTGTGGAAATGTCTAGCTGAAGTGATCATGAAATCCCACTTTGCCATGTCGTGACATCCAACTTGCTATGTCATGGTTATTGAACTTGGGCAGCTTAATGGATTAAGCTCTTAATCCTCAAAGCCTTTAGCTTAAACTTTTTAAAGAGCTTCTTAAGGTCTAATAAAACATAAAATTTAATGGGTTATGAGCATATCTACAAATCCTATGTATTCATGCAACCCTAATGCTTTGGATCTAGGTTTTCACTAATTGAACATGCAAATTTGAATACAAAAGGGAAACCCTAATATGCATCTATAAAATCGAAATTAACCTAATACTAGGGTTTAGATACATACCTCAATTGTTATGTAGTAATAACAATTAATCCTTGTAGATCTTGAACTCTTGAAAGCAAGTGCCTCAATTGTGACACCTCTAATGGCTTACAAAAACTCTCTGCAAGAGGTTGAGAGGAGAGAGGAGCAGATTGCACCAAGATTTCGGCTATGCTAAGTTTAGAAGCAGGGTGGCCGAAAGTCCCAAGGTTTAGGCTCCTTATATACTTAAGGTTGCTTAGTCCCAACTCTAGGATGATCATCCATAGTTAGAATAGTTGGCTCTAGGGTTTATCTTTATCTGATTTAAACCAACTATTTCTTTATCAAAGGACGCTCAAAATCATACATACCTAGGATTCTAGGAGCTTTTGGAATATTCCAATTCATCCTTATGATTGATTAATAATCAAACGCCTTTAATTAATTAAATCCTTTTAATTAATGTACCAAAATAATTTCTAATTAATATATTAATTCCTTATTAAATTAACACATTATTAAACTCCATTTCCTTATGATATTTACATCACGAGGCCAACCCAAAAGTACCCTGTTATTATTAGAAATATTATCATAATAGTTAATGACCTTAGACACCACTTCCAACAATGACCTCTTCAACTAAGATGTAAATTGTGTGTGTTTACACTCTAAGTTATAACTAGCACTCACATTCCAACGAAATGTTTACTCAAAGTGCCGATTTATTTTGCACATAACATAAATATTCATACCTTATGAATATAACTACTTTTGTTCTTTTTTATTATCTTTTTCTGGAAATATAATTTCCCAATTGGTTGTTAAAATATTATTTTCGTAAAATAACAATTCTCCAATTAAATACAAGTATTGATTATATTTATTAATAATCAAATTAAGTTCTAAATTAAAGTCGAAAAGTTGACCATCTTGAATTATATCGACAAATATAAAAAATAAATACATAAAAATTGTTTTTTATCTTAACAAATGGAAGTTATTAATAAAAATCAGTTATATATAATACGACGTTAAACACAAAAAATTTAGAAAATAGAAGAGTAAAAGTAATATTTTTCAAAGTTAAAAGTGATATTTAAAAAAATAAATGAGTGACAAAGTTACAAACTCATAAACATAAAATATAGAAAACTACATAAATGATCTCTATGGTTTGCCCATAATCACAAAATCTTGCTACTTAAAAAAACCAAAATACCTGATACTAATAGGTGCACAATAAAAACGTCAATAAAAAGAATCATTCATGCAAATTTTGGAAACTAAATAGACTATGTTTGTTAAAAAAATTAACAAATCTTTTGTTTTGTTTTTTTCTCCATTAGAGTTTGTAAACTTTGCTAAATCATAAGGATCATTTTTGTAGTTTTATTTTTTATTTTTTCTAATAAGTAAAATGATAAACAGAAAAATACTAATCGTAATTTATTCGTGCTTAATAACATTAAAAATAATAAAGCAGTATTAAGTTATAAAATATAGAAAGAGTTTGTAAATTTACATGCATAGAAATTCAAAAAGTTTTAAATGAAAAAATTAAGCAATAACTGTTTTTTACTTTATAAAAATTATTTAATACAACACTAGGTGTAAAACTCATGTATTATATGAGTTTATTTTAAAGAAAAATTAAATATGAAACTCTAAGCGAGAAGTTTAAATTTTTAAGAAAAATTTAAAAAAAAAAAATTGAATTATTAAATTTAATATGTTTTTTTTTTCTTTTAAATTTAAACAAATAATTTAAATATAAAAAATAAGGTTTTAATTTAGAAATTTTAAAATTAAAAGAAAAATCAATTAATAAAATTGATATATATATATATATATATATATATATATATATATATATTTATTACAATTATTATATTTAAATATTATATCAAATTTGATAAAATAGAAAAACCACATTGAAAAATTTTTAATTGTAAATAACCACATATGAAATATCACCAAATGAATAACCGTATTAAAAGTAGAAAAAAAAAAATTATTTATTACCGAGGATGCTTTCATAAAACTTGAAAAAATGATGCTGCTATTATTAGAGGGAGAAAAGTACGTAATTAAGTTATTGACAAATCTAAGAGGTCAAGTAAAGCTTTTTCCAAATCAATGTACAAGTACCTATGCATTATATACAACTCACATCAACAAACTTTAATAATACCATGGCCAACTATCAATGGCAACAAAAACTACCTACTTCCTAAAATGCCACAATTCATCCATGTTCCACGATGTGCTAGCCAATTCATCATCTTTCATCCAATCTACTTCCGTAAGCTGGAATTCTGGAGCCGACATGTCATCAGGTCCCACTGCTTGCATGTCCAAATGGATGAAGTCCATGTCAAATTCACTCATATTCACATGGTAACAGTCGTTGTATTGGCGTGATGAGTCGTAGTAAGCGATTTCTCCATTCGGGTTTGATTGAAGATTTAAATGTTCAGGAAAGACCATAGCTGTGGAATCCGAGGAACAAATGCTTGAGCTCGGATTAGGGTTTTCGGTTTTGTTTGATAGCGAATAAGATGTTACTGATGACACCATTAGAGTTTGTTCGGTTTGTGGTGATGAAGTGCTTAAGTTGTTTTGATCAATTTCAGATGTTGACGTACAAATAGATGATGACGACGGGGATGAGTTTTGTTCAACTTGTTCAAGTAATCTTGGCATCCAAAATCGCCGAAGTGTTTCCACAAACCTCTTGCTATTGGAGTCGATCTTAAGGTGACATGCTTGTTTGTGTACCTTTGTTCTCCAGTAGTTTTTGATCTCGTTATCTGTTCTACTTGGCAAGTGGCGTGCAATTTTCGACCATCTTGAAGACAGAAAACAATAATAAATTAGATCATCTTAAATTCTTAACATAACACACACACACACACACAAATATATATATTGGCATACGTGTAGTCTCACCTATTACCCCACTTGGAATGTAATTCGAGGATTAAGATTTGTTCTTGTGGGGTAAGATTCCCGCGCTTAATATCTGGTTTTAAGTAATTCAACCATCTCAATCTGCAACTTTTACCGGTTCTTTTCAATCCTGTCAAAAATAGAGATGAAAAGAACACAAAGAAGACTATATCAAAACCTTTGTTAAAGAAGACAACATATATACGACCATGAAATTCACGAAACACGAATAAATGGTGTTTTTTTTTCATGTTTTATGTACCTGAAGATTTTGCTAGGGCGTTCCAACGGCCTTCACCATGACGAGTGATGTAATTAATAAGAAGATTGTCTTCCTCGAGTGTCCATTGCCCTCTTCTTAGCTCATACATGTAGTTCTCACTGCAAGAGCTGTCCATCTTCTTGTTGGTCGATCTTTAAGGAAGTTAAAAAGAGAATGAAAAGAATTAGGGTGTTAGAGAAGTAAGTGGAGGTCTAAATACTTATAGAGAGATCCCCTGGAGGGTTTTATTGTAAATGTTGAAAAATGTAAATAGGAAAGTACACCCAAAAGAGATTCTGTTAAAATTTTGATGGATACCAATGCATTGGGAATCATGTAAGATGTGGGTATAATACAAGAATTCTTGTTTTACGATACATATATGTCCAGGAAATTAGTATCCTATGTAGGCCCTCCGCATCATAACATGAGCATCATTCACTGAGTATTCAACTCGTCTTTCAAAATAAGATTTTCTATTTTTTTTCTTCTTTTGAACATTTTTTTCAATCTGCGAGGGGTTTTATCTACATAGATTTCACAAAAAGCGCAAAGTATATATATATATATATATATATATATATATATATATATATATATATATATATATATATATATATATATATATATATATATATATATATATATATATATATATATATATATATATATATATATATATGGGAAAAGTGAATATACCTAACAACCTTATATAAGCTTAGGTACCTAACTCCATAAAACTACATCGGTTTGTATCATATTTACATTGTAATTGCCTAAGGTTCTTAAACTTCAACCCCGTAACTTTATTACTTCCAAAATCTGTGAATTTTCACCAATATCTTTCTTTCACATCACGTATTTGTATTGAATACCGCCTGATAGGCTTCATATCCTACCACTACAAATGAAATGATGTAGGAGAAATATAATGATGAATTTCCAAAAATTTTTGAACTAAATCATGTTTATGGATAAAGTTTAAGAACTTTGCATGATTGCAATGAAAATTTAATGTAAAATGACCTAGTTTGATGAGGTTAGGTACCTAAGCTTATATAAGGTTGTTAGGTATATTCACTTTACTCTATATATATATATATATATATATATATATATATATATATATATATATATATATATACATACTAATCGTTTACACGCATCAAGCGACGGGTGTGACAATGGTGGTTGAATGCTGAAAGATGAATTAAACCCTAAAAATGGAAACGTCAGCGATATATATATATATCCAAGATTTGTGAACAGAAATTGCGAGATTTGGGGAAATACGGAGATAAGTAATGAACCGGGTCAAAATAACCTAAGAATAAGAGATAAGATATTTGACCTTTTTAACTGTTGACCATATGTACTCTACTCTTTTTGTAATGCATAAATTTATTGTACAAATGCATTATATGTTTGTACGACTTAAAATTCAGCATTTGACCAAAAATGCTTTATAAGGTAATTAAGATATATATATATATATATATATATATATATATATATATATATAATATATATATATATATATATATATATATATATATATATAGGGATGAGAGTTTATCCCGAAAACTTGAACCGAACTGAATAAGCAATGCGATTAGGTTTTCGGGTATCTATATGAGGCTTATTCGGTTTTCAGATTATTCGGTCCAAGTTACCCGAATAAGGGCTTATTCAGGCCAAAAGTACCGAACCGAATATGAAAAGTCATATTTTTTTCCCTTTACGATTGCTTATTCGGTCTTTGTGTTCTATTGATATTTACCCAAAATACCTACGTAATACACCAAAAAAAATCAACGAAATCAATATTCGATCATCCAGTAGCGTAAGACACTAGAATACCAATTCGACGATATGAATCTTTGATCAACTGAGAGTTATTCTCATCCTTGCGATTTGCGTTTGCTGCCCTTGCGTAACCTGGAATCTTTGATCGGTCATCATTAGTTCAAAGTTCAAAGTCCATTCACGATAAGAAAAAAAATCGGCCTTTGCCTCTATAAAAAAAATCATCTCCTCATCCTCATTTTCTAGTTTTTATTGTGATCAAACTCCATTCAAGTCATGGAAAATTTGGTTCCAAATCAAGAAACTCACGTAAGTATTTGTATATTAATCTAATACTCAATATTTCAATGTGTTATTATGTATGCTACTCATTGAAATTTGAATGTGTTAATCTACTACTCAATCTTTCAATATGTTATTATATATGTTATCAATTGAAATTTGAACGTGTTATATTAACAGTTAACATTTTATCTATAAGTCCAAACAATGGGAGCTCTAACCTTGAATGAGAGAGTTTAATGGTGAAAACAACCATATTTGTTCTTTTACTTGTTTCATTCCATATTTGTGAATCTATTTAAATGTTAAAGAACCTATATTGCTATTCTATTATATTAAAATGATTTTGTTATTATGCTTTAGATTGATGATGAAGATGTGTTTGTTGATAACATTCAAGTTGAAGGAACAACTCAAGCAACAAAACTGAAGAAAAAGGAAATATGTCAAAAGGGTGGCTTGTTGGGCCGATTATGATGTAGTTCATGTTGACAAAGTTAGACATAGCAAATGCAAAAGGTGTAGAACTTTGCTCAAAACCGATTCCGGCGGAAACAGTACTTCTAGTATGATTAGACATACAAAAAGATGTAAAATGAACCCAACAAATTTAGAAAAAAAAACAACTAGAAAACCAAACCACTTTAAATTTAAAAAAAAAAAAAACGGGGAGAATAGTATTGGGACTTGGAAGCATGATGAGAAAAGAATAAAAAAAGTTTTGTTAAACTTATTTGTAGTTGGAGAATTACCGTTCAAGTTTGTAGAGAATGAATCATTTATTGAGTATACAAATGCATTGAATGGAAAGTAGTTTTGTCATGTAGAACTACAATTTCAAATAGAGTCACCGATTACTTTCTTGAAGAAAATGCTAAATTGTTTAAGTTCTTTAGTAATCCCCTAAGTAATGTGCATTTCACCATCGATTGTTGGACAAGCTCATGTCAAAGGTCGAGCTATATGGTGGTCATGACCCACTTTATTGATGAAGATTGGGTCCTGCACAAAAGAATTATTAACTTTAAATTTCTAGATAATCATAAGGGAGAAGATATTGGGCGCACGTTGTTGACTTGTCTTCAAGAGTGGGGTATCAATAACGTAATGACCATAACCGTAGACAATGCTAGTGCGAATGATATAACAATCAAAATTCTAATGAAAAACTACCAAACTTGTATGATGGGGAGAAACAACTACACGTAAGGTGTATGACCCACATCCTTAACCTTATTGTTAGGGATGGGTTTGGTCAACAACAATCTAGTATCAAGTGAATGCAAAAGGCGGTTAAATACATTAGAAATTCTACACAACAGATTCAAAGGTTCAAAGAATGCATGAAAGAACTAAATGTGGAATCCAACAAGTTTTTGTGCAATGATAGCCCAACCAAATGGAACTCGACATACAAGTTATTGAAGATTGCGCTGGAGTTGGAGAAGGTTTTTGGCATGTTTGAAGTCAAAGTTAATTCCATATCCCATTCCATTGTTTTTTATTTAATAATTTCAGCATGTTCACAAATTTTTAGCTAACTTTGAAGTGTTATAACGTCTTCATTATTTGTCCGATCAACCCAATTTTTTTCCAGCTTGTATTTCACAATTTAAACAACAGTTTACACTATTTAAATGCGTTATTTGGTTGTATATTCATTGAGATACATGCCTCTAAACATTGGGTATTAAACCTGAGTTTTTCTGTTTCAGCATGTTTATAAATTTTTAGCAAACTTTAAAGTGTCATAACGTCTTCATTATTTGTCCGATTAGCCTAATTTTATTTCCAGCTTGTAGTTCACAATTTAAACTATAGTTTACACTATTAAAATGTGTTATTTGGTTGTACCTTCATTGAGATACAACCTCTAAACATGGGGTATTAAAGCTAAGTTTTTCTGTTTAAACATGTTTGCAAAATTTTAGCCAACTTTAAAGTGTCATAACGTCTTTGTTATTTGTCCGATTAGCCCAATTTTTTTTTTCCAGATTGTAGCTCACAATTTAAACTACAGTTTACACTATTTAAATGTATTATTTGGTTGTATATTCATTGAGATACATGATTCTAAACATGGTGTATTAAAAACTGAGTTTTCTATTTCAACATGTTTGCAAATTTTTAGCCATCTTTAAAGTGTCATAACGTCTTCGTTATTTGTTCGATTGGCCCAATTTTTTTTTCTAATTTGTAGTTAACAATTTAAACTACAATTTACACTATTTTAATGCGTAATTTGGTTGCATATTCAGTGAGATATACACTCCTAAATAAGGGGTCGTAAAGTTGTTTTTCTTTAAAAAAAATACTAAAATTTACTTTATTATAATAGATCCTACATATGTTCGAGATGTTTTGACCCCCGCAAAAGAGGATTTCAACATTTGTAGAGCGATGGTTGGATTTCTCGAGAAATTCAATGTGAAAAGCCACATAATATCAACGTCAACAAAACCGATGACAAATGTTTTTTTTTTTTGAGAAATATGTGATGTGTACAAATACATTGAGGAATGGGCGGCTAGTCCCCAATTTTGTTTGATCGGGATGGACAAGTTTGAAAAATACGCTAAGTATTGGGGCGACCTTGAAAAATTAAACAATTTTTTGTATTTTCCGGTCATATTAGATCCATGGTTCAAGTTTGATTTTCTTCAAAGCTTTTGAGAAGTTGATTAAGTTGAAGAATACACAAAAAGATCCCATGCTTAAATCCGAAGTCATTTTGAAGGCTAAGGCCTTAATATAGGGTCTTCAACAACGATTTGAGAATTTTTTTTATTTCTACAAATCAAAGTTTGACAATACCGAATCTTATCAAAATCAAACACATGGTCATGAAGATGTAGTTGTGATTGATGACGAGAACGACTTCATAGGTGATTTAATAGTACAAACTAATTACCCATCGACATAATGGAAACAGAGTTGACACGATACCTAAACGAGCAGTCAATTAAATACAATAAAGATTTTGATATTCTACTTTGGTGGAAACAAAATGCATCTCGTTACCTTATTGTATATTGTATGGCGAAAGGTATAACTTTATTATTTGTAGAATTTTTTTATAATTATATTTTAACATTTTCTATGTTTATGTTGATAGATATTTTGGGACTGGAAATCTCTACCGTGGCGTCAGAGGCAGTGTTACAAGCGGGCAAATATTGGATCCATATCGAACAAATTTGTCTGCAAATATAGTAGAGGCTTTGATTTACTGTAACATCCCAAAATTTAAGACCAAAAATTTCATTTTTAAATAAGTAATAAAGAAATCATTAGTATAAAAACATCCATCATGCCATCCCAT